TTGCATGCAAACTTATAAGTAATGCTCAAAGACAAAAACAGAAAATTTATATTCGTTTTGATGCAAAGACAAAACCGACAAAAACACAGAGCGATAAATGATGTCTCGAATTTTTTTACAATTGCTTAAAAATATATGTTCAATTAATATAGAACGAGAAAACTATTTGTAAATGCATTTATGTTCGTACACATTTCTTCGCCACCTAAGCCATCATAACTCTTTTGACTGTACCAATCGACACAATCATTTGTATATAAGGAATGATCTACCATATAGATCTATCTATATAGTATTATGTATATATACAGATATGACATGAACATGCTTCATATTCATTTCATGAAACATCCACCACGGTCGTGTTTACGCGCATCATTAGTGACAACTCCACGAATTAATTCAGCATACATCCATATATAAACCGTTGTTCATATATTCGAGTATATATAATAATAAAGTGTTACCATGTGTTAGATTTCATCGAACCAAGCAAATAACATGATAATATTTTCCAAAATAAATATCCATCGTGTATGGGATATAAATTCTTGAGTATGTAGAATTCGGAAGAAGAACATAGGAATATATAGTGATCATACATGTAGATTCATAAATCTAAATCAGTCAAACGAAAACACCGATCGGAAAAAAGAAATATTAGAAAAAGAAGCAAATAGAAATACAAAAGGTAGTAAAAAGAAAAAGAAACACAAAAAAGTGAAGAAAGATTGAGATAATAAAAACACACTTGATTTGGTGATTTTCAAGATGAAGATCGCTTTGAAGCAGCGAAGGATCGGACCGAGACGCTTGATTCCCCTTTTGGATCTCGTACGCACACGTGGATGAAGATACAAACATATGATGATGATGATGATCAAGAACCGATCTAAACGAAAAAGTAGAGAGAGATAAGGTAAACCCTAATCTTAAAATCTTGATGATGATGATAAGAATCAACTACTTCATCTTCTTTTTCTTGGGATTCTTGATCTTTGGTTTGTGTGTTGATGTCTTCTTCTTGGGTATTGGGACTTGGAAGGTGAAGAGAAAGAAGAAGGAGAAGAAGACGACGAAGATGAACATGAATTATCATCATCACTATCATCATGATGATATTGGGAACTAAAGTGAAGGTAGAGAGAGAAGTGAGGTTGTAATGATGATGAGGGATGAAGAGAAGTCAGAGGTAGGGGAGGAAAATTATCATTACTACTTTGAACCAAATGTTTTCTAGCTTCTCTTTTATTATTTCTTTTGTGGGCTTCGAAATATCCTAACCCTATCTTTTGCCCTTGAGTCTTTCTCTCTCTAGATTTATGAGGAGAGAGATAGAGAGACAGAAATGCCTTTTGTGCATAGGGGTAGAAAAATTTCAGTTGCCTATCCAATGTTCCAAGAGGAAAAAGTAAAGAAAGTTAGATAGCTATTTTTTTTTTTTTTACATATTCTCTAACTTTTTTTTTTGGATCTATCCAATACATATTTATTATATATTTGATTAATTTCATGAAAAAAAAACGATCAATAGGTCATTAACAAAAACATTATTTAAAGAAACAAGGGGTTTATATTTTCTGTTATTTCAAAAATTCACCAACTTTATGTAAACAGATAATTTTTTTTTGCCATTTACGTACGATTTTGCAATCTTGGTTATAAATTATATCACCAAACCAGATTAGCTAAAGTCAGGGCTGACCCTCAAAAAGAGGAGGTTCAAGCAAAAAAAAAACTTTTCTGAGTTTTATAAATAAATTATAAAATTTGACACCAAAAGCTTAAATTTTAAGAAAATGAGACCTATTTTTATAATAAAAATATTTTTTAGGGTCTAATTTTGCAACAAAATTTTTGGCAGTCTCAAGCATTTGCAATTTAAAAATCATCTAGATTTTCATCACTAAATGCAACATTTTTTTGTAGTCCAATATGCATAAATCAATGTGGATTACCGGTCGAGATTAACTTGATTTTCACCACCAAATGAAACATTGTTGAATCTTTATGATTTTAAGAAATGTAACTATTTTAACGAAAAAAATTAGATAGTAATGATTTAGTGGTGCGACGTTCAAGTGGTACTGAAAGAATTCCATGTGAGTCCCAGCGGTAGGTAATAGATTCAAATCCCAATATTTTCATAACTCCAATTGGCTCTCTCCTTGACCCAATACACACAACTCAACCAGTGTACTGTATCTGAATGACTGTATGTTATTTTTATTAAGTTCATTTAACTTAAAAAGTAACGAAAAAAAGTTAAAGGATGGATCAAACTTTTTGATCGATCGGGCTTATTCTAAAAGCACATGGATATTCTTTCCATATGCAAGAAATTATGTAGAATGTCCATTAACAACCTTTTTCGGTTCAATCTCAGTGCTTTATAATTATCCTACTTTTAATTGATTAATATCCACAAATATTCTAAGTTAAAGTTTTCTTTCCACCAAACTTAACAAGTCATAGAATTTCTAAGTTGTAATTACGAATACGCTAAATTGCCATTGTATCAAATTGTAATAATCTCAAACAACAATTAATACGTTTACAATAATACTATGTACTTTTAAGCTCTGAACAAGTTGTTATAGTTGGCTCAAACTCACTCAAACTAGTTAATGGTTAATGAGTCTATGTTAATTAACATTCAATTACTTTAAATGTATTGATCAAAGTCATAATTTGAGATATTGTCTAGAGTTGATCCGACTACAAATGTACACTTAGCAACCAACTGCAACATCAATTTGGTGTGGAAACCAGATTTAGCAAGGTATAGACGCTAATCTAAAAGACGATATCATTCCCTATTAAGAAAAAAAATGAAGAAGTAAATCGTAGAAAAAATTTAATTCACTCAATACCACATTTTAGTATTTTTACTGATCCTACTCTAACTCTCACGATTTATTTTTATTTTAAAATTATTAAATATATTTTGTCTTTCTAGTCAACTGAATTTACTGATGAAAGAAAAAGGCTGTTTGTGACTGTATTTGGGGGAGTATATAGATTACTAAATTGCTACTAACAACATAAGCTTTATTGGGTTTAGGGTAAAGAGGAGAATTTTGACAGTCCATGTCTTGTATATGCCATAAGTTATGTATATCCTTTTTTTGATATCAAATTTTTAAAGTTAAGAGAGTCAGAGGACAATAATAAAAAAAAAAGTAAATGACAGAGGAATCAAAATCATGAAACTCAGGAAAGGCAGTGCCTTGAAACCAGAGAGATAGAGAGATATGAGTTTTTTTTTTCCCTGTAAAAGCAACCTCAAATGCAATTATCTTTCTGCCATTTTTTAAACATATATAGGGTATATAGTACTTTATTAATTAAGAAAAAACAATTGAGAAGAAGAATAAAAAGGAAAAAAACCAACTTATTATAAAGCAATGTGGTTTCTTGAAGTTGGGAATTTCCACCCCAAAAGTGCTAAAATGTCAGCGTTCTTATTAAACAAAGTTTAGTGATTATTCTATGTACAAACAATTTAATTTTAAATTTATTGTATGCGCATGATAAATCTCTATTTATAATAATGAAACAAGAAAATTACAACTTTTCTTGATCGGTGTAACATTAGTTTTTTTTAATATATAGTTTACAATTTATTTTTCTTATATAGATACTTGTAGTCTGAATAATTGAATTTAAATAACTAATACTTGGAGTATATTTTTAAAGTTGACACAAGAAGATATTCTACAATTTAAAAAATGGGGACACATTCACACAATGTCCTGAGTAATTTATGACTCTATCGTAAAACGTACTAGATTATAATGTGCGGGATTTCGTATTTTAAGAAATGTATTGTAATAAATTTTTAGTAAATATAGATTATTTTGTTGTTTTGTTGATATATGTTGTACGTGCAATCATAAGAAAAAAGAAAAAGCTTTATGTGTGATGTGTCCAACAACTTCATATCATATATATACCTCAGAGTTCCACTCACCATGATGGGCTAAAGGAAAATGGTCAATACAGTGGGCTTACTTAGCCCAACAAAACGATAATCGTTGGTAAAGTTAAGTAGGGCTTAAAAGTTTAAATGAGGCAACTCGACTAAAAATGGGCCAAATACTTTTTCTTATTTGTGCCGAGAAGGCGAGAAGTACAGATTAACAAATGACATTTACAATTAAGTTTTCTTTTAACACTAATTTTTTTTTCTCTGTTTGGCATATTCTTCTAGTAATTAGAATTTTTTGTGTCAGAAAAAATAGAATTATGTGATGCGAGCAAAAAATAAAAATAATGAATTATATATGTTACAAAAGAACATAAAAATGTGAATTTAATACATTTTTAATAGTCAATTGAATCCTTTTTCTTAGTTTACTTTAAATAGAAATACATTTGAGTCAAAATTATCTTTAAAAAATCTTAATTATTAGTTGATAACATTTTTACTTACACAAAATGATTTTACTGAAATTTGACCTGCAATAATTTTGTTTCCATACTATATGTATATTGGAAACAAAGTAATTAATTTGACTAATTTTCTTTTCATTAATTAATAATATAGAAAACAAACAATTAAATTAATTAGACTTTATGCTCTCTTTCTCTTCTCTTTTTGTTTTGTTTTCCAACCTATAAATTAGAAAACTATTTCTTAATTGGTAACCAAATATAGAGAGATATAATTTACTAAAAAAATATCAAAATCAAAGTTTAAAACTCACTTTAGTGCTATCTTTTTCAATCTTTACCGACGATGGGCTTTATCTTCGGCCTTGCATAGTTTTCATGTAAACCTGATATGGTTGTAGGGCTTTCTGTTGGCCCATGTAAGAATTACTTTGTTATCAATAAACTTCCTTCGAGAAAAAAAAAAAAAAGGAACAGATACCGTCTTAATGGAGGAGAGAATCCAATCTAAATAAAATCCTCGTGTTTAACGGTGAGACTTTTCCGGTTTGCTGTTAAAATACGGTTATGGTATAAATTTCCGGTTTAATCTGTATAGCTCTCACTCTGAAGTAATGTTCCAGGAGTAGTCAGTAATACGTAGAAAAGAATCTCTCACCGACGACGAAGACCGTAGAGTACATTTCTTAGACTTCTCTCTCTTCCTCACACCTCACTTACTCTCACTCTCACACAATTTCTATTGCGCTTCTCTACAGGAATCACTCACATTGTGAGAGAGAAGAACATTTGACTCAAGAAACTTCGGAAATTTCTTTTGGTTTGTCCTCTCAGGTAACTTTTGTTGTTTGTTAATTTCTTTTCCGTAGAAAAAGGTTGATTTTTATCTTTTGATCAAGGGTTTCGTTTTCCTGATTTGATTTATTTAGTTTTTTTTTTTCTTGAATTTTTTTTGATTGTTTTTGTTGTTGTTGTTGTTGGGGATGATTTGGTAATCAAAAATGGAGTTTTGATGCAGAAAGATGGTTTCCTTTTTGTTTGTTTTTAGGTGCAGTGATGAAATTACAAAACCCAGATAAGGAATCTAGTGTAGTGGCTTTAGATTCTGGAGCTTTAGCTATGAGTGGTTTCAAATGCGATGGGAAATTTCCGGTGAAGGAGGTATTAATGGAAGAAGAAGACGAAGGTGGTGATAAAGTGAGGAAGATTGAAGTTTCTGGGGAAATATATCACTTGTTGTTGATTTCAGTGGAACTAGGACTAGTTCTAACAATTTCTTTGAGTCTAGTGGTAGTTGTGTGAATGAGAATCTGATTAAAGGAAATGGGTGCAGAGAAGATGAAACTCAGGAGTTTCTTGTTGGGAATCTTGTATGGGTGATGACTAAATACAAGAAATGGTGGCCAGGAGAAGTGGTTGATTTTAAAGCTGATGCAAAGGAGAGTTTTATGGTTAGGTATATTGGTCAGAGCCATCTTGTTTCGTGGTTTGCACCTTCGAAGTTGAAGCCTTTCAAGGAGAGCTTTGAGCAAGTGTTGAATCAAAGAAACGATAAAGGGTTTTTTGATGCGGTAGAGAAAGCTATGACCTTGTTGAGCAACTCGTTGAAACTTGATATGACTTGTTCTTGCATTGCTGATGGGAATGGAATAGTGTCAGCAAAAAATGTAACAACTAGGAAGAACAAGCCTTTGATACTGCGTGAATTCTCGGTAGATCGGTTGGAACCAAAAGAGTTTGTCACCCAGCTGAAGAATATGCGAAATGTGTTTTGAATGCTGGGGTACTTGAGTCGACAGTTATGCAGAGTCGGTTATCGGCTTTTTATACTCTCTTTGGGCATAAGCAGATACCAATGGGCCAACTACATGAAAATGAGGGTAGGAAAAGTTTCACTGCGAAGATGAATGACAGTCAGTTCATTGGTTCTCCATCCATTGCTGCAGGTAATAGCAGGAAGAGGTTTCGGAAAGAATGGTTTAGGAAATTTGTAAGCGAGGTTGATAATGTATCTGCGAGAGACGATCTAGTAAATGTGCCTCCTTCTGATTTGATAACTAAACTAAAGCTGCTTGCTGTGGACTCCAATTGTTCAGAAGAGACTGAAAATATTGGTCTCTTTGAGTGGTTCTTCTCCAAATTCAGAATTTCTGTGTATCATGATGAAAATGCTTACAAGATGCAGTTGGCTAACATGGCTGGTTTCAAGGATTTGATGTTAGCTACAAATGCAAATCGTGGTACTGTTCAGAAAACCTCAAAGTCAAATAAAATAGGGAAGTCAAAGATTGAGCCTCTCAACGGTGTTTCAGTTGCTGATACTGAGCAGAAGACCTTCGAGTTGAAGATATCAGAGAAGTTAAAGATCGAATCCCTTAATGGTGTTTCAACTCCAAATATTGAGCACGAGGCCTCCAAGTCAAATAATTCAGGGAAGACAAAGATCAATCATATCATTGGTCACTCAAATTTTTCTAATTCTGTTGCAAATGAGCAGTTGGCGAAAGATTTTCAAGACAAACTGTTGGTACAAGCTCCAGACGGGAAAGCTACTACGGCAGATACACTCAACAGACCTGCTGTTACACTTGTACCGGACCTGAACAGCGGAGGCGATGCTTTGGGTACTGCAGAATTTGACCGTATGCAAAGACCTGAGACTTTAATTCAGCATAATGTCTGCCCACAAGAGGAGAAGACACCAAGATCTACGATGCTTAACTTTCAGGTGACAGCTCCGTGTTCAACCTACGGAGTCTCAGGAACTCAGTTTGTTTCTAGCCAGCCAACTTCGTTCAAACACTTCACGAGTGCAGACCTTTTCACTAGTTCAGGGAAGAAAAAGAGAGGAAGGAAGAGGAAGAATGCAGAAGAGCTTCCAATAGTTGCACAAGCCACTACTGGGATACCTGACTTAAATGGAATAAATACAGAGCCAACTTTGGTTCTGCCTCAAGTTGAACCTACTCAGCGCAGAAAACATCGGAAGAAAGAGGAGTCACCTAATGGATTAACCAGAGGAATCACAATTCTCTTCTTGAAATTTTCCTCCCAAGTGTCAATGCCTTCAAGGGACGACCTAACCTCAACATTCTCTGCGTTTGGCCCGTTGGATTCTTCCGAAACACACGTTTCAGAAGAATTTAGTGGTGCGCAGGTCGCCTTTGTGAGTAGTGCCGACGCGATAGAAGCAGTTAAAAGCTTAGAGAAAGCTAACCCATTTGGTGAGACCTTAGTGAATTTCAGGTTACAGCAGAAACTGATAACCGTTCAAAGGAACATTGCCCCGCGAAGGCCGGTAATCTCACATGTTAGTCCAATTCCGAAACCGAACAATATACCAACGAGTGTGGATTCAATGAGGCAGAATCTTTTGATGATGACAGCAATGCTGGAGAAATCCGGGGATAGTTTATCAAGAGAGACAAAGGCAAAACTGAAAAGCGAGATCACGGGGCTTCTGGAAAAGGTTAGTTCTATGCCGAGCTCTTCTTCTTCCTGAAAAATCCCTAACATACATCAATGCGATCATCTCAGGCTTTCTAATGTACCATGTGTTGTAACTTATGTGTACCATCTTATGAATTGGGTTCTTGTGTTTTTCAGTCTTTAGTTTAACGGTAGTTCTAGAATAAGATTAGATAATAGAAGATGTCGGCAATATTCTAATAACATCTTCAGCTTTTTCCTTGATAGCTCGAAGCTCTCTAGTTTATAATCTCCAGCCTTCAGGGGCAGTTCTTGCCTAGTTGAATATTTCCAACAAGATCTGAATTATTTCCTTTGTACATATAAATGTTTACTTTAGTTTTCTCTTGATCTCTCTTTAGAATATGTTCCACATTGAAAGAAACTGAAAAGCTTGAGATCTTCTGTTTCTATTTGTTCACGTCTCAATCAAAGATAGTAACTATAGTTGCATTCACATAGAATTAGAACTACAAAAGTAGAAATGAAGACTAAGAAGCCACTCAATCACACTTACTAAACGTGATCACTCACCCTATACTCAGTCCCTGAATCAAGATTTCTTTTGGAGGTGCCTTTATTAACTTCTTTCACAAACTTCTGGAGGCAAAAGAGATGGCGAAACTCCTTCATTAGCTCGAGTAGTCCATCTGTATTGATTTCTCTATCATTGAGCTTCTAAACGATATAAAAGATCACAACTCAACAATGTAAGATGGCATTGTTCATGTCGTTTAAGAGTGTTTTGACGAGTTTGAACTCTTTGCTCTTTTTCACAAAACGGCAAGAGACGAAGAGGGAAGAAACCGATTCACCTAAAAATCGATTTTGGTATCTGACCGGTTCAGCTCCTTCTTCAACTATCAAACCGGAAAATCTAACGGTTCAATTGGGGAAAATGAGTGAAACTGTAAACTGGCAATTAATGAGCCTTACTCATAATTTGGTTCGATTGGAGTATAATTACGAGAAGAGACTCTAACGGTTCGATTGGGGCAAATTAGTGAAAGTTAAAAAATATAAGGGCGTATATAAAAATTATTATAGTCGGTGACATACCAGAGTCGCATCAATAAAAACCCTGAACCCTTTTCCTCAGGAATTCAAAATCAATTTCATCAGTGTCACACTTGGAGTGCTTTTAACTCTCCCACTCACTAACATTGTCGTGATTCTCGGATTATGCTCTAGTTTAATTTCTTCGCCATGGTTGCTTCGAGGGATGTTCATGAGATCGTCTCCAAGCTCTCGTCAGATAAAGCCAAGACTCGCGAAGTAAACTTTTCAGTTACCCCTTTTTATGGTTTTTGGGTTTTATGGGGAAATAAAGGATGAAAATTTTCGATTTTGGTGTATATGTGTGGCGTGTTTTCTTGATTTCGTTGTGGGTTGTTGCAACGATGCTTTAGTGTTTCCGTATACTGCAATACGGCTTTAGTTTCTGTGATAATTTCGAGTGGGTTTGGTTTGAAAACGTTGAGATACTTTATTGATTAAGCCATGAGTACTTGACCAGGATCCTCCAAAGCATTGACTAGAATCTAGAAAATTTATGAATTTTGTATCTATCCCTGAGTAATGTTGTGCAACTAGGTTTTTATGTTGATCTATATATAATTCCATTTCAATGTTTCTCATGTTGATGAATGTCTTACATAATCTGTATATCCAGGATGGTGTCAAGTTATTGAATACATGGCTCGAAGGGGAAAGGTCAATCACCTTTTGTAGATTTCTTTCGCAAAACACTGCTAAGCTTAAGTTGGACGAGATTCCAAATGGTAGGTAACGATTTTTCCTCCTGCAACTTTGATGCTACTATACAGTGCATCAAGCTTTGAAGTTAATCTAACGTTACTTTCCTTGCAGCTGAAACGTGGCCCTTTTTGGTTAAACTTCTCCTTCAATGTGTCTCAATGGAGGTGTCAGGTAGTAAGCGACGGATGCCCAAGCCAACTTTTGCAAAGACGCTTCGTGTTGTTATTCAGAGAACAGAAGAAACTAAGTTTCCTGGTGAGATATATGTTTTGGTTAATTAGAAACATAGTAACATGCTTTTAAATTTTTCCTGGAATTACTTTGTGCTTGTAAAGACCTTCATGATGTCACCCGAAGAGCATAAGTATAAAGTCTCTTGGTCAGAAACTTTGTAATCTGATTTTGAATGTTTTCTGTAGTTACTATGTGCTAACGTCACCTCAAAAGAGGCATTCAGTTGTATCGACCAATTAATGGAACCGAAAAAGTGCTGTATGTTTCTTCATAGAAGACAATCTACAAAGAAACTGGAGTGAACATTGTTTGAAAATAGTTTTAGGGAACTGGAATAAATTTGATGTTCATCTCACAGATATGTATCTTTTGCTTACACGTTGATGGTGCATCTACTCTGATCAAAAGTTCAGCTTTTCCCGTGGTTATGTAACTACTCTGTGTTAATTCTCAGGTGTACAATTTCCTTTGCTATCTATGGCTAAGACCCTTTTTACACATGTACATGATATCTTGAGCAATACACCTAGCTTTCAGTCAGAGTATGGTACCATACTCCGCCATCTTTTGGAAATTAGGGAGTACCGTTTCCAAATGAGGAAGCGCACATATTCCAGTGAGTTCTCTTCAATTCTATATCTATTAATTGTCTTGTCTTGTCATGGATCTGGAGCGTATGGTGGTATGCTGGTGCTGTGTATTATTTTAATATAATGTTTCTGCAAGGTTTGGTGCTGCTATACATGGAAAGGGCTGAGGCAGGTTTTAGCGAGAAAAACAGTGGTCAACATAGCCAGAAGGAGGAGGCGTTTCGTTATATTCTTACGCTTCAGTCACTTCTAGAGAACTCCCCTGGTGATTTTCCTGATGACCTCCGAGAAGAAATTGTGAATGGCCTCATTAACATCTTCTCTTCTGTAAGGTCTGATTTTATTTGTTAGTCAGTCTCACTCAGATCTGTACCCTCCTGTACAAGCAATACTAAAAGTTGGTATACTAATTTATTTTAATACTTCCAGAGATGAGGGAAAGCTTTCACGCAAGCTTATTGAATGTGTAAATACGTTCTTGCTGAAGGATGGTCCTAATTTAGGCTCTTTATCATTGGAAATTCATAATGCGGTTGAACAATTTGTGTTCCGTTGCTGGTTAACAACCCATGATAAAAACCTCAAGGTTTTTTTCTTTTTCTTTTTATGGTAGCCCTTTGTTAACCATGTGATTTTTTCCATAATACTGTTTCATGGTCTTACGTTTTTTTTTCGTCTTCTTGTTCTGGCTTGTAGGAGATACTTGCTTCTTATGGAAGACTACAGTTAAATTTGACAAGGGGTTCTAGTGAATCTAGTTCTCTGGTGGAACAACTTTTGGACGTGGTTACTCGTGAATTGGATCTTGGTAGTTCATCAACTTCTGCATCATGGTACATCCTTTTTGAGTCTTTTCTTCCGAGGGATGACTTCTTTAAATTCTACAAATCTCGTGAAGTTATAAGATTTCTAATTGAAAAAATTATTTAGGGGTGATACAACAAAGGATGAAAAGTTAGGGGCATTGAACAGCTATCAGAATAGCTTGGTTGAGCTGGCTGCACATGTGTTCTACCGGGTACCTGTTTTATGTTCAAATTACTTTGTTCTTTGAGTAGCTTTACATGGCCCACAACAGAGTTCCAACTCAAGCGACCATTTTTATTTATTTTCAGCAGTGTCTGGATTTCCTTTCATCTACCTTCACCCCCATGGCCCCATTTTAATTGATTCGAATTATGATTTCTGAAGCATTTTTGCTCTGCAGAAGTTTGATCTGTATACTTTGAGAATATATTTTCAACACAGTCAATTGAATCTCATCATAGACATGCATGTTGTCCGTTTGTGTGCATATAGTGAATGTGTTAGAGAAATAGTGCTGACATTTAGAACTTTGGCAGGCATGTGTCAATACATCTAGACCATCACTGTCAGAGAAACGAGCTCGTAGGCAACATATTGCGATGCGTATGGTGGATGCACTAACTGAAGGAAAATGGCTATGGTATGATTCTAATCAGAACATTACTAGTGGATATCCAATCTGCTGATGTCTTCTTTGCAAAAGTTGTTTTCTAGATATATGTGTATCCATATCATAAGAATGCATTTGATGAGTGTACGCTGTTTGTTTGTTAATGACACATAACTTCTTTCCAATTCATAATGCTGGAGAATAAGTTTCACGGGCATAGCACATTCCCTTTCTAAGAAACATCTGTATTATTTCTGTCAGTCTAGATGCTGTCCTTGCACTAATTCTAATATCGCTGCTCCCTGTTTTCCCTAGAATTTTTATTAATATACAAAATATTTGGACTGAAGTACATAAGCTTTACCCAGGTGTGCTGCTTTTGGTTGTCTAGTTCGGAATTATTGTGCTCGCATCAATATGGATCTCCTTATTTACTGGTTTGAAGCCATCTGCACAAACTTTCAGAGGTAATTTGGGAACTTAAAACTTATTACATGGATCTTGTTTACTTAATCTTGTAAATGACAGACTTTTGGAGGATGCCAGTATGAGACGTTCTTATGATGGTCTACTATGGACTTTGAGGTATGTTTATGATGCTAGTTCAGGTGTTTACTATTCTGAATTTGCAGCAATTTTCTTCATATATTTGCTAATATAAGTTGCTGTTGAGGTGTTTAAAACAAAAAATATGTAAATTTATATGAGGTACTTAGGGATCTTTGTTAAATTCGCTGATCCTATATCTCAGTTAGTTTATTGTGAAACTTTTTTATTTGAAGGAGTTTGCAAGGGCTCTCCTCTGGTTTGTTACTTCCAGATACTACTATGGACATATCGAAGTCATCTGCTTCCTCAAGTGAGGTACTTTACATGCCTTTTCTGCCTTTGTGTGTGTGAGTCTGTTTCGCATATGATAGGTTTATTGGACAAGTTTTGTTCACAGAAACATGCATTGCTGAGATTTAGAGCTGATTTGGTGTTGTTACTAAAATAAAATAATACTGAATCCCTTGATCATATCGTGGAGAAGTTGAGGAATTATATTGTCTCTATGTTTGCGTCTTGGCAAATGGTTTTGGTGTAAAATGAACTGAACATTAATAGCCCATCCACATATAGGGTTTTTCTTATGATGTTAAGCTAAGCTAGACTCAACTTAATGTTAGATAAATTATGTGACCATTTTCAATAAAAATCAGGTGGTTATTAGGCTTTTGGATACATTACCTGATTGAGTTCTGGAAAAATCTTTTTGACTTTTGGTTTTATGATTGCTGAAATGGTTTTCATGCCCTATTCATATTCAGCTTTGTATTGGAATTCCTTATTTCATTAATATGATATCTTATTATGAACCTAATTTGCTTTGTAGTTAGCTTTTGGTTTCTAAACCGTATTATTTGCAGCTAGATCGTGGTTGGCAATCGATCTGGAGCTCTTTAATCCGTGGGCTAGCAACATTCAGCAGCATGAGTGTAATTGTACGTTGCACTTATCTACTTGCATTCTTTCTTGATTCACACAGTAAACAATTTGTTTAAAAACTGTTGCTTCTTATGGAAGAAACTAGAGAAAGTATTTAAAAAAACCTGAACACTTGGTAGCAAATAAGGTTCCACCTATGACGTTTGAACTTGTATATAGGTACCAGCCAAATACTTGAACTTCAGATTTTTAATCTTTTTAACATATCTTTCGAACAATGAAAAAGTTTTCTTTAGGGATTTTTGTTTGATCAAACGTTAGTGGCTTATTTGTTCGGAGTTCCTTTCTAGTCATTTCCCATCTAAGTGAGTTTCTTAGGTTAACTCTGTAATAATTTTAGGTAAAGAAAATACTTTGATGGGGACCAAGGTCAAGGGTTTCTTGGTGACCCAATACTATTTAAGGGTGGTTGGAAGTTCGTTTAGCTAAACAGTGTTCGATTACTCGCTATATTAAGTTGATTAGTAGCCACAAATGCACGCACGTATGGCTGATGCTACACTATTTTAATGCAGGTTGATGCTGTCTTGGTACTCCTTGGATCAATTATTTCAAGTGTGAGTTTGTAATTAATTTTTTATAGCTGTTTTTTTTAATTATATCCTCTTAATATTATTGTCTCTTCAATCAGAACCACATTAACGTTGGAATTCTGCCTCAAGAAGTGTGGGATCATCAATTATTCAGACACATACCCTCTGAGTAAGCCTTTCATCCTCAAAACTTAATAAGCCATGTTGTTAAGCTATTCGTGAGGTGCACATAGGCTAGAGCCCCACTTTTTCTGGAAACAGAAATCAAATAAGTTTGTGTATATCTTATTGTTGTTTCCTTCCACGAGATTAATTTTTGTTTGACTATCTGGTTGGCTTTAATTAATAGATGCTGAATGGCTCTACTGTTATCTAAAGAATTATGACTTTTACTCAGGCCGGCCTTGTACTTCATTGCATGTTACTTTTCACGTATGGGTTGCCAGGTAAACAAGGTTCTCACTGTAATTGTATGGTTTTGGTACATTCTATGTTGACTATTTCTCAACCTTTGAAGTCTTGAAGAGTTGTTGCATCTTCATGGTCTTTATCACTGATGGATGAATTTGTGCAGGGAAACCTGCAAGATGATTTACATCTTCGACGAAATCTTCTTAGAGCAGTTTGTGCCCCTCTAAGCTGGAAGGTACTGTAGTTTTAATTTTTTCAGAAGTACAAAAGTATAATTGGCGCATGGATCTCATTAATAATCATATTTTTGGGCTGATGTTATGTGATACCTCTTAGTCTCTTACATTCCATGGAGGAAGTATTGTCTTGGATCTGACCAAACAAAATCGCCTGAATTGTTTTACTCCATTATGTAGATTATCTGGCAGTGAAATTTCACCCTTTCATTTTATTTTCTGCCAACTAGTTGTTAAGAGCTGCTGCATTCTGTTTCCACCTGATTTTTGTGAAACTGAAAATCATAAGATATAGTTTGAAGTCTCATCAGGTTCACTGAGTGAAGTAAGCCTTGTAGATTTATTATAAGTCTCGAATGATGTGTACCTCATTGTACCAAACGATCATATTGGAAATCATACTTGTGGCTTTTACATTTTTAGGTTCGTTTGACTCTAAATGAGAGAATGGTTCAGCTTCTACCAGCAGCTGCTTTTTCCCTATGTGCTGGTTTCAAGACTTCACTTCCATTACCTAAGGAACATCTTCCAACACCATCTGAATGGGATGTCTGTGAACAGGTGAGTGATGTGGTGAATGTGCTGGTTATGTTTGTTGATTGAGGATTGATACATTTTCATCTTATGATCAAGACTGTTACTGGAATTTGTTTTTGTTTCTTTTGCAGATAGATGATGTTGATCTAGAAAGAAATTTTGGACTCTTTGAATGCTCTGTGGAGGCTCTAACAAGAGTTTGCTCAAATTCTAGCAAGGTGGAGGATCCTTAATTTCTTTTTCGCCTTTTCCTGACTCATTTCTCCGCTGACAGTTTTTTTGTTTCCTTGTATTTCAGATCTCTGGTTGCCAAGTTCCTGACGTGATACAACTACCTCTGGTATTAAGGGATCCATTGCTTCATGACATGGATATCTATTTTCTTAGCATTACTCCGGAGGTCAAGGAGAAAGGACCATTGTCTGACATCTTTATGGGATGTGCTCTGTTGTGTCATTTTATGCATGGTTCTTACATCGCAAGGTTTGTCAACTTGTGAATGAGTAATATTGTTATTTTCTTATTAGACTTTCTCTATCGAAATTGTTCACTCCTTTAGAATGTGTATATAGTTTATAACAAGATTTTCATAGTTGTCTTGATAGACGGTGAGAACCACTAGTAGATGGTCTTTGTTCTGTTTGTAGTGTAATCATGTTCTTTGCATGTAGCTGTCAGAGACAAAGTTGTGTTGTTTGTGAATTTTTTTTATTATTATTATTTTTTCATTTTTCAGAGGTCTAAGACAAAAGTGATTGATGGTTGTGAATATGGCTCACCCTCGATGAACTAGCTTATATTGTATCTCTTTGAGTGAACTTTTCTTTCAGCCAACTGGATTTTCGTTTTCATTTCTCAGGAAGGGTAAAGGAAGCAGTTCGTTCTTCTTAAAGGCATGCCAGTATTTGTTAGAAGGCCTGGATCATGCTGTTGAAGCAGTTTCAAAGAGCCTCAACGATCTTCAAAGGCTTGGTTCCCTAGGGTTTGGCTCAGATTTTAATGAGAAAGGTTCTGTAATAGTTTCGTTGAGGTCCCTTACTCAATCTCCTGTCTTCAGCAACGGAAGAGACCAAAATCTTCTTGGCGCTAGTTATGATGCTGTAATTCATTCCTTAGAGAACCTTTTGCGGTCTTTTGCTAAAGTCTATGGAGAATATACTGAGCACGCATGGAATACACATTCAGACACTGTACCTTCTAAATCGTTTGCACTTGATTCCCCAGAAGTTGGCAGGATTGTGGATATGGATTTAGATTTAGCTGAAGACACTAAAGAGAGGGATATTATAACTGTCGGTGGAAAAGCTGTACCTGGCCTGCCCGTTTCTACGGGGAACTGGAAGTTGGGCATGGTATCGCTTATCTCATGTTTTTCTCCAGTACTTCAATTTCCTACATGGGATGTTCTATATAACTTATTGGAGAAGGAATCTGATCCTAAGGTATTCCAGCAATCTTTTTTATTATACCAATATCTCAAGCTTTTGTTGTGACCTTATACCAACAAATTGCTTACATGTGCAGGTGCTGGAAAATATACTGTATCATCTATGCAAGCTTTCATGCTTGACTTCTATGCCGAAGGTTGATGATTTGGTATGGAGTTTAAATTGTTGATTTGATTTGCTCTGAAATAATTTGAGAAAGAAAATAGAGGGTTTTTCATCAACATCTTAACCAAATTTCTATGTTTATGGGTATTTGCTTCATTATTTTACTTTAAGGTTATTTTCTTGGATGGCATGCTTAGCACACAAGTAAAGATGAAGCGTAACTGTCTCAATATAGTCACTGCTCTGCATGTTTTACTTCATACTTTATCATCCTCGAGGATGGATTCTTCTGGAGTTGGAAAAAGTTGTGGTTTGTCTCTGAAAGAAGGAGAAAGTTTTCAGGTACTATCTCTCCTGTTTAAGCTCACTATTTGGTTCTTTCCCATGATCTGCTTTATTCATTGCTCAAGTAATGTGCAGGTCTTTGTCCAACTTGGCGCAGTGGTGAATAAAGTTTCTGAATTTGGTCTCTTGGGATGGTTTGGGCGTGTCAAGCTGATCAACTGTATATGTGATCTTGTCTTACTTAATCCTCAGACTGGTCAGGTGCGTACTTCTCATTTATCACTCTTTCTTCAGACTTGATGAGCTGGCATATGCAATATTGATCTCCTCCTTGTGATTTAGCTTCTCTTTGAACTGTTTTCATGCAGCGAAAATGTTCCTGCCTTAAGGTTTCATGACTTTTTTTTCTTGTCAAAGTACCATTGGAGTTGAAAAATAACATTTCCTCTTACAGTTTGTTCAGATAAGACTATTTCTGTTGTTTGGAGATGAAAAATTGAAATATTTTCTTGCACTCATTACTTGTAGCGAAAATGTTCAAGTAATGAAGAAAACTTACAGTGTGTTTATAATAAACAAGTCTTTTATCTTAGGACTAGAGTAAACAGGCAGTTTTCCTACCATTAGCGCTAGTAGTTTTCTTTTTGGAATTTCACATCAGCCGGTTACAGCTAAATATTCTACTTGATTCCTTGTGGAATTCTTACTTTATTTAGTCTCTTGTTGTACAGTGAATTGAGTTTGTGTTTTAATACAGACAATGATTGAGCGACTTTTGTTGATGCTAAATGACTCTGATTATCGAGTGAGGTTTGTCCTGGCAAGACAAATTGGGATTTTATTCCAGACGTGGGATGGCCATGAGGCATTATTCCAAGATATTTGGTAAGTTTGGTTATTCAAAATTATTATCTTGTGGCTTTTTTTCAGTAGGGTTTTCCTAGTATGACAAACTGTTATATACTCGTTTATACAGATCTTGTGGCTTACCAAAAAAGAAAATAAGGAAAAGAGGCTGATCTTTGTCTTTGTTGTGGGATTTTCTAATAGGGTGTTGTCCTAGTAAGACAAACTGTTATATACTCATTTCTACAGATCTTGTGGTTTACCGAAAAAGATAAAAAAAAGAGAGTCTGTATTCTGTCTTTGTTGTGAGCATAGAGTATTATTTTGGTAAACACAAGGCATGTTCTAGTTAATTTAGTCATCTTTCTTGAAAACCTATTCAAAATTCTGATACATTGTTCTTTATTGATTGTGAGTCTTATGACGATCATCATTTTGTAAGATCAGATGCTTCACAGCGCTTGTTATTCTTTGAAAGCTTACCTTGCACTTGGTCCTTGTAGTACCACATTAGTATTTAATATTTTATTTTTATCGCTGTTTTCAGAATTCATTATCAGATTGATGTACATCATTAGTTGTAAACTTTTCCCATTTCCTTTTCCAGTTCCAGCTTTGGTATTACATTAGTAACCTCCTCAAAGGAGAAACTAGTTACCGCAAAGGATGTTTTGGCTGCTGGTCCTCAGCCTCGCCAAAAAATGGAGACTGTCATCATTACTCTTATGCACCTTGCTTATCACAGTGAGAACATAGAGTTGCAAGTAATATTTTCCATTCATTTTGTTTTGAGTTCCTAGGATCATTTTGAGTATACAATAAGCTAAGCTTGTGTTAACATCGTATTCCAAACTGGGAGAAACGCAGGCTGTTTTTATGATGTGCGCTGTTTCAGCTATAGATCCCTGTCAGAGGTATTTCTTGATAGTAATTGAAACTGTATTTTGTATTAGCTGAAACTTTCTTCTACTTATATTGCTTTCTTCCTACTAGGGAATTAATCATTGCCGCACTTGACAATCTATCAGCACAACTCCATTACCCATCTAGGTTCAAGGTGTTATTGCTGATTCTTGCTTTTTTTTTCTGTCTTCCACAACTGCATGATAAATGTTCTTCTTGTTTTTACATTTCCGAATATCAGCAGACGTACTTGATATTACATCTGCTGCCTGCTGACATCATCTACATCTCTTTTTAAACTGGTTTGTGCAGTATCTGGAAGAACTCTTGGGCCCGATCCTTTTTTTCTGGATTGCATGTGGTGTCAGTTTAGCTGGCCTTATTGAGGTATGCCGCAAGTTGATATTTTCTGTTTCATAGATCAAGCAATTCTTTTCTGTGATGGTTATATTACATTTTCACGATGTTATTCAGGTGAACTTTGTTTGTTGGAGTTTCATTTGTTTATATTTCAACTTCAAACTTGTATTACAGTAAAGTAGATTCAATATTTTTTTTTTGTTTCTCTTGCACATGGGTCTACAATATGAAGATAGTGCACAGTTTGATTACAAAATTAAAGTAATTTACCAGTGAAAGAATGAAATATCGACATGTGCTTTTGGATATCTAGCAAATATGTCCTAAGTGGCAGTTTGAAGAATGGAATGAGTACCTTTTAGCATTTTATATCATCTGGTGGTTGCTTTGTTGCAGACAAGCCAGCTGTTCATTCCAAACGCTGAACCGAAATATTTCATCCACTTTTGTTCCCACTGGCTGCTTCCAGCTCTTCTATTGCATGAAGATCATACTAACCTTGACTGGGTAGCTAAGGTAAGGGTGCTTCGTTACATCTTTTATGGACATAATTGAACGTTTTGGAAACTCCAATCTCAGTCTATGGAGATGCTTATAGGAATTTTTAATGAGATTTATAAAATGTACAAACTTTTGGTTGCTTTGTCTTCTTTTTTTTTGTATGGGCAATTAAGATGGTCAGCGATTTGAGCTTATCCGATCTCTATTTCACTGTCTGTCTACAATTTGCAGATGGCTGCCCAACCGGTGGTTGTTTTGGTCAAAGAAAATTTTGTGCCAATATTTTCGATATGTATGGGTTTGCACTGTAGTAAAACGTCAGAATGTGATAAAGGTGCAATGGTGCTTCAGAATTCAATATTGTATGTTGGTGAGATCAGCGAGAGTGAGAGGGACAAGCTGATTAAACAGAATATGGTATGATACCTTGTAACATTTGACTCATGATTCCAGCAACCTGTCTTTGATGTTTGTGGTGGACATATCCATGCTAGTCTGATCCGCTAGTCCGAATTTACCAAACGTTGGACGTTTTCATTTCATTTTGTCGGAGATCATTATTTCAAAAATATAATATATATTTTTGATTATAACGTATTGAATATCTAATGGGCACCTTGTTTTGTTTTCAGGTGTCTATTGTTAGTTTTATTTTATCATGCGCTTCGTCTTCACCAGAACCTCCAGTTCCTGCTTTTTCTCGTGATACTATTTCACTTGCAGTTCAAACAGTTGTGGATGGTTTTCTGGAAACGTAAAAATTTCTTGCTCACTCAATGTAGACTTTTTGTTTTAGTTTTTCCTTTTATAAGGTCTTACTTGTTTTATGCAGCACTGATTATCCTAAGAATGCGGCCATCACTGACAGGATAAACATTTTTCGCCCGGATAGAGTGTTCATGGTAAAATTTTAATTTGCCGAAGTTTTCATGAGATCACACTGTTGTCAATTTGATACTTTAGTCACGATATTTTTGTTGTTGTTTCGCAGTTCATTACAGAAATGCACTATAGAATGTCAGCTGCATGCCATCATCGGCATACACGTCATCATTTGGCCGCTCTTGAAGAGCTTACAATTCTTCTTGGTCATAGAGCGTCAGTTCCAAGTTCCTTAAAGTGAGTAGAATTCTTGATTTATCTATTTAATCTTATTTGTTCTGCTAATAAACATGGGTTTCATCTGTAAATTAAAATTTCAGTGGCATTGAAGGGTTAATCTCTATTTTTCGAGCTTTTAAAAACTACTTTTATCTTTAATTGTGGTCTCTTTCAGTTACATATTCAATCTTGTTGGACAATTTATCGGCTATCCCTCACTACAAGACCAGTGTTGTAGTATAGCGTCCTGTTTACTGGATTTGTTCAAAAGCAATCCGGCCAAAGAAATTGTTAGTGTACTAGGTGACCAACTCCAGGTAAGTGTTACTTAATGTTATTATTTGGGTTCACTTTTGAGATACCAAGGGTTTTATTACTCTATAAAAAAATGGCTTACTTTTCTCTATCTGCTGGTTTTTTAGTTTTTGGTCTCAAAGCTGGTTACATGCTGCATTGATGCTGAAGCAGATATCAAAATTTCTGGTTCTAAGTCATCGCAACTCGTTAATTTGCTACACAAGCTAGTTGTTAGTTCAGATTCTTCTCTTGATGAAGATATCAGAGTAGGCGTCCTACATTTAAAGTTTCCTTCCTTTTGTCATACCACTGCCAGGAATAATAGAGAACTATATATGTTCTGATTTGTTCATCTATTTCAGGATTTGGAACCACTCCCGGATTTAAAAATTTTCCAAGTCATTCGTGAATCACATATCAAGATATGTGAAGCATATTCTCCAAGGAATCATCTGTTGAAGGTTGAGCACTCTATATTTTTAATTTACATTTTTCTTGAAATTTTATCACTATCCAACCTTTTGTTTTTTCCTGTTCCACTATCCAACAGTGTGCTCGAAGATCTTGTTATCTTCCACCAAGATTCCTTTCCAGGAGGTATCAATTCTATCTTCCTGAGTTAAGTCATCCTAAGATATGCATTAAGGTTATCCTTTGTGGCATGATTTGCGTAGGATATTAGCTGTAGAATTAAGATTACGTATATGGTTCCTATGATTTTACTTTGGAAGACTGTAGCTGTTCTAATTACACAAAGCAACGACGGTCAAGGGAGTAAAAGTTTCTCACATCTTCTAAATTCATTTCTGGTTATTATTATTTCTTATGTGGGTTAGTCTGCTCGATATCTGAGCTACTTTGTTTCATTGTCTGTGGACTATCTAGTTTGTGCTCATGGATGAAATGTTTGAGTTCTGTGTCTGTTTGACAAGTTAATTTAGAAAGCAGGGAGTGTTTGTCTTTCAATTTTATCAGTATGGCTTTTACCTTTATAGAAACAAAACTGAAATCATTATCCCAAAACATGGCTAATGAAGTTTTTTTCTAGAGCCTAGTAGCCTACTACCCTTTAGCCCTCTACTCTTATCACATCGCTGCAATTTTATCAACGTATTATACCCTTTGCAGTCTCCAAGCACTGCATAACAAGCTCATAGCTTCTGAAGTTTCTCAAGAAGACACAAATGGAGAAACTGCAGAAACATTTTGGCAGTCTGATGATGAAATTGTAAATGCTGTTTGGACTCTTGTCCGAGTGTCTGCCTCTGATGAAGCAGATAGTATGAGACTTTTGGCGTCTGATTTCCTTTCCAGGGTAACTGTCATTCTCTTGTGGTCAGTATCTCCTGCAATTTGAATATATGGTCTTATTTTCTCTTATTTTACTGTAGGTTGGTATTAGGGACCCCCACACTGTTGTTTTCCATCTTCCTGGGAAGTTAGTCTCCATGCCTGATCTTCAAGTTATTGGCCATAATACTGGATCAAAAGTCAGATCTTTGACTGAGAACGGCATATCCGATGAAACCGTTATCACACTGCTAAATTTTTTGAAGAAGTATCTTTTGGATGACTCCGTAAAGATTATTGATGTAACATCACAAACCCTTCGGGTCAGTTTTCCAACTTTCTTAACTTTATTCCCTGTTGAATGTCTGATCTATTGATAATTTAATAATCTACTATCATGCACATGAAAGTTATGAATCTTTCTGTCTTATGAGTCATTATATTTTAGTCAAAAGATGTGTATCTCCTTCCCCAGTTGTCATGCATTTTAGTGGTTGTACTTCATTTCAAAGATTTATTCTGTAATATCTTGTCTCCTGTTTGGAAAGGCTAATTGTTTTGCAAGTATTGCTGTAATATTTTATTTAAGCTATATAGATGTCCCTTTCCTTATTTTAGGGAATTCTTTCAACCGAAAGGGGCCAGCAAGCATTATCATCTTTTGATTCATGTGTGAGATCTTCAATTGAGGTGAGCTTCTTTTCTGCATTAGCTTTCTGGTCTTATGCTACTTTTCATGGGTTGATATTTCTGTGATAATTCGTATAATGGACAATTGTTCTCATGGGCAGGCATTGTTTTTATCAGTAGAATGCTGATGTCTAAGGGTATATAAGATACGGGTCTTTCAGAAAGTTGTGCAAATTGATTTCAAGAATCATATAGTGATATTTATGAATATATAAATAGTCAGTCACTATATTCAAATAAATGATGTATATTGGATTTCCCATTCTTGTTAGGGTATCCTAAGTTCAAAACTGCTCTGCCTGTTCAGATAATGTTTTTTTTTTGGGTAGGTGCATGGTAGGGGCGTGAACCTTGACATTGTGGAAAAGATCTTATTGGATAGCCAAAAGCAGTTCAAAGGTAATTTAATTATTCCATGAACCTTAACATTGTGGCAAAGATCTTACTAAACAGAATCTCTGTCTAGAAAATCTCATGGTTCGAGTTGCTAACCCCACCTCATAGATTCTTTATAATAAATTTCTGTATTACGGCTATCATTTATTATTATTGACCATCTAATTCTTGATGCAACCTAAAACAAAAAATGGAGGATACTGATGAAGTCATCGAGGCATATGAAATCTTTTTGGCTTTTGGTTGCAATCGTAAAAGTTGTCTTGATTGATTTTCAGACTAGAAATGCCTGGAATTATTACAGATTTCAGTTAACGTAGATAAGTATCTCTATTACATTCTGCACATGACATGTCCATGTCTGTTTAAGCATATTCAATCGTGTTTCATTCTTCCTCTTTTTAAATTACTCAAGAATGGTTCATGTTGGCCCCCCAGCTGAGAACTTTTCACTGGAGACGCCAGAAGTGTGGTCCACAGATATAAAACCTTTGATAGATGGATTTGCCAGCTTGTGTACTGTATGATCGCTTTATGTGAGGATGTCCCAATAAGGTATCTGTTTGGTTCCAGTTTACCAGAGTTATACATATAAAGTATTCAAGTAAAATCTTGCACTGAGTGGATCATTGTTGCTGCTTTGTTTGACAGGTTATGCCAGAACATAGCATTGCTGAAAGCTGAAATATCTGAGCTTCTATTCCTAGTGTTATTGTTAGTCTTGCGGACGAATAGGGACGGATATAATTTACATGACTTGATTACGTCACAGGTATCTCTCGTATTTTTTGGATATACCAATAGTGCTTCTTTTTCCTACTTGCTTGCATTGTTTCTTCTCTGGATATCTGTGTTTGTTGAGTCAAATCCACTTCTCTTGTATTCCCTTTTTTTCGGTTCTTTCTTTAGTACAGATTTGCTTACTTTAATGTTGCCATCTTGACCTCATCTTGACTTTTGCGTACAACCGAAATAAAAAACTATTATAGAACTATGGTGGTTGTTTTTGTTAATGAGGTAAGCATTATACTCGTCATTTGCTAATTCTAGCTGTATACTGTAAGGTAAATCCTCTAGCCTGGTGTCTGCGTCATGATTTTCCTTTAAGGTGTGTATATATGCAGAAAACATATAATTTAGTGGTCACTTTGGCTAAAGCTTGTGATCCCCATTGGCAGGTGAAAGAGCATATCTTCATTGATTCAAACAAGCTAACAAAATCGAGCAAATTATGTTAAATACCCTGAATGAGCTGCGGATGTGTTATGTCCTCGAAAGATCGATTTTTTCTGGGCAAACAAAGAGAGAAAAGGTTAGGGTATTGATTTCAGCACTGACCTGTTTGCTGTTATGTTTTTAAGTAGTTAAGAAAAAATTGTTATGCTGCATATCAATAACAGAGAAAGTTATGCTATTCGTGGGAGTGTATAAGGACATTCTCCTATTCTATTTCTTTACAGTGAAATCTGTATCATATGGGAGATGACCAAAACTAACGTTGGAATGCTCTTGCAGAATTCAAGATCTTGTTCCACAGCTGCTAAGATTAGAGATGTGGAAACTGCACCAAATGGAATGGCAGCGTCCAAAACTAACTAATTGGGAGAAGGTGCATATTAGCTTCAATTACCATATGCATTGTTAGGACTATGAGCATTTCTGATCCATGCAATATTTCATGTGTCTGGTGTTACCATAACTCTTCTTCTCAAAGTGTGTTTGGCTTCCTGCTAAAATTGCAACTATGTTTGGTAGGGTTTGCAAATATGTTTCTAGGTGTGATAGGTGATAGGTGTCAACACCTTTAGTTTGGTTGATTACTAGATGCCTTGTTATATTTTGTGTTTATGTCATATCTGAAGAATTGAGTAGTTTCAAATGATCAACTATGAGGTCTAGTAACTTAATTTTATAGTAAAACCATGCAAAACGAATTTATCGCTGTCAGTTTTGTGCTACTTCTATGATTAAAGCCATTTATTGTTGATAGCTTTAATTCATTTTGTTGTTCAGGTATTTTTGTATCATTTCATTTGGCGCTAGTTCTCTATTCAGTTACACCTCTTGTTTCTTTTAATATCTTCATAATACAGAATGACTTTTGTTGATCAGGTTTATTGGCTTTCCATTGATTATCTTGTTGTTGCCAGATCAGCAGTAGTGAGTTACCCCTTTCCGTTTAAATCAATAACCAATTTAATAGAGGCTCTATAGTTATTTGCAGTATATAACTCTTCTCGCTTTCCCAGGTTTGTGGTGCATATTTGACCGCCTCCATGTATGTGGAGTATTGGTGTGAGGAGAAATTTGGCATCTAAGCCTTGGGGATCCTGATTTTTCTTATCATGATAAGGTACTAACAAGGAATGCATGTTATCCGTTCCTCTATGGTTACCATCTTTTAACCAGATAACTCATTATGCTTATTGATTAATGAGTAGTAACTTTATCGTCATCTATGAAACTTTCACTGGGTGCACTTTTACAAAATTGCAAACTGTGGTCTCCATATAAAAAAGGGATTGGTAATAAGTGTTTATTTGGTTTCATGCAACAGAGAAAGTGGTTTTGTTTGTGCCAATTTCTAATCATTCCTTTTCTTTGTGGTTAACAGTTACCGGATCATGTTGAGATACTTGTGTCTGCAATAACAAGAATAAACGAGCCTGACAGCTTATATGGGGTTATACATTCAAATAAGGTTCGTTTCTGATACTAAATTCTGTCCTACAGAGTACATATTGGATATCTCATCCACACACTTGGAACTCTTGCCTATTGGAAATGGTTACTAGTCTGTATTTTCCTGAACGTGTTAACACTAACCCTTTTGTTACCTACTCTAGGAATGTTTTGAGACATCTCCCATTTCATTTGATTGCCAAAATATGTTTTTGGTACTGAACAGTAAAAGATGAAGTAGCTAAATCATATTGCAGTATTTTTTTAATCTTTTACTGGTTTCTTATATGTGAATAATACTTTCTGTTTCTGTTACATGGATGCAATCTGAAAGTTGTCTGCTCAAATAATCACATTCGAGCATGAGGGAAACTGGACTAGGGCACTCGAGTATTACGACTTGCAAGCACGTTCACAGAAACTGGTGGTGCCTGGTAGCCTTTCTGAAAATCTAGAGGTGGAACAATTTCAGCCAACAACTAGTACATGGAATTCTGTTTTTGGTGAAGGAGAGGTCCAGAGACAACCGTTCAAAGGACTCATTAGGTCGTTGCAGCAGACAGGCTGTATGCATGTCCTGGATTTGTATTGCCGAGGCTTAACTTCCCGAGAAGGATACTTTCAGTATGATCCAGAGTTCATCGAATTGCAGGTATGCATCCTGATATCTCATTTTTTCCAATACATGGAAGTCTCATGTCTAAATAAGGTTGTTGGTTAACACATAAATATTCCATGGGATAAAGAAAAGATATGATGACTCAAAGATCTTGAAGGAGTAGCTTAGAAACAGTATTTACCAGATAGTAGTTTTTGTCGTTGCAACATTGGCCCAAATTCTGCTTTAACAAATAACTAATTGAACAAGCTCAGCTGTGGTACGTAAGTTGTGTTACTTAGGTGATAATTCAGCTGCAAATTGACTTCTTGCTTGCAGTATGAGGCTGCATGGCGTGCAGGAAAATGGGATTTTTCTTTACTTTATCCGCAAACTCATTGCCAACCTCTGCAACATGCGAAGAAACAATAATTATCATGAAAGTTTGCACTGGTAACACATTTCTTCTCTTTTTACCAATGATGATATTCTTAGCCATTAGATATCTTCCCCTGTCTGTATCTCTGGATTGCACCAAATATGACATCTTATCAACACTGAGTTTGCCGCTGGTCTTAAGAATTTTATTTAAAAGGAATGATATGTTACAGAGGAATTTTAGAATAGAGTATTGAAGTCTCCACAATTTCCTGGTATCTGGCTTTGTTTCTTGGGTCATGGTCTTAGTATCAATGGTCAGTTGTGATGAAGTCCTATTTAGCTTGGAAAAGTCATCAATATTATGCATGAGAGTCACTAGCTCCCACCTTAGGCGTGTATTTTCCGATTTGTTTATTTCTCAGTTGTTTGAGAGCATTGCAAGAAGGGGATTACGATGGTTTTTATGAAAACCTGAAGGATGCTAAGAAGGTAATGCATGATTTCAGTTTATCACCTTAGGATTGGAAGGTTGCAGGCTTCTATGTGGTAAGAATAGTTCTTCTCTCCTTTTCAGGAGCTTGTGTTGTCCATTTCCCGTGCAAGCGAAGAAAGCACTGAATTTATATACTCAACAGTAGTGAAACTTCAGGTATATTGACATTAAAGTACAACACCTTTTTCCATCATAATTGTCATTTGGTGGCCAAATTAAAATTCTACTCCATATTTGTTCATGTCTCTAATGTGATAATGGTCTTACTCTTGTCACGAACCCCCTTTAAAAGATTAGCACACTCTGGGAGTGCCATACTTAAGGTCATCTTGATCTTAACTAGCCAATTACTCTGCAAGAGCTGTCAAGTTTAACTTATCCAGGTGTCGCAAGTTCCAAAACTTAACTATGTGGAGATGTTCAACCTTTTTAAAAAAGACTTTTCCATCTCAATATTTCCTCACAAAACTATATCCCATAGACTAAAGATTTAATGTGTGAACTTTCAAGCTGGGGAATTTATGAATGCAAGCTGCATGTTCATTAAGATCTAAGGAAATGTGCTGATGCTAAGATTCCATGTCTCTTTGGAAAAACAATGGTTTTGACTTTTCCCACTTTTTGATTTTGATGTTTTATCATGCCTAGATTCTTCATCATCTTGGACTAGTTTGGGATCTTCGCTGGACATCTTCGCATCAAAGTGTGCATGGCTATCTAGTCAAACAATGGCATGCGTAGACCCCATGACTCCAACAATGGATCAGGTATATTCCCTGTAACTTTGTTTTCAAGTGGGCTTTCACTTGCTTCTAGTGAATGATTGAAAGTTTCAAGAAGTTATGTTATTAATATAATAAGTCATAAGTTGGCAAAATACCAAGGCTATTCAGGATCTTTCATTTAGAATTAGATATTAGTCTTGGGAGTGCACATATATGCTCAAACTACCTAGAAGCTAAGTGAGATAATCTTGTTTTCTGAGGCCAAGTTTAATTATGAAATACAGTTGTCTTGGCTGAATAAGGATTGGAACTCTATTATTACGCAAACTCAGTTGCACATGAATTTGTTGGAGCCATTTATCGCGTTTAGGCGAGTTCTTCTCCAAATCTTGGGATGTGAGGAATGTACCATGCACCATCTTTTGCAGTCTGCTTCATTACTTCGCAAGGTATATTTAAAGTGAAAAGAGTGTCACTTGTAGTAAAATGCAGAGGACCAAAACATTATCTTGTTGCTTTCAGGGAACAAGGTTTTCTCATGCAGCTGCGTCTCTGCATGAGTTCAAGTTTCTCTGTGCAAGAAGTGATGGACAACAACCCGTTCCAGACTGGCTTGGAAAGGTAAATATTTATGACTCATCTTGCATCTTTTTGGAATTTGAATAGCCTGCTTTTTTCTTCCTTAATTGTACATATTTATACACAGACGTTTTCCTCATTCACATTTATGAAGGTGAGACCAAAGTTACAACTAAAATTCTGATCACTCCTTCACACACGCGATTACTCCTTTACTCACGCCTCCTTCTGTCAACAAATAGTTGTGACCTAGGACATAAAATAGTTATGATTGAACAAAGGCATACAGTACTTGTTTTTGATATCTAGTAGATACTTTGCCTCTTAGTTCAGAACATGGCAATATATCTGATCCGCAACTAGAGATATGCTTTCCAGTAACTTTTTGTGCTTTTTCAGCTTGAAGAGGCGAAGCTATTACATGCCCAAGGGCGGCATGAAGTTTCCATTAGTCTTGCAAACTATATTTTACATAATTATCAATTAAAAGAAGAGGCTTCAGATATATATCGTGTGATTGGAAAGTGGCTAGCAGAAACCAGATCTAGCAAGTAAATAAATTGTTACTTTTTATTGGTTGAAAGCAGTTTATCTATGCTCGTAATGAACTTCTAAGAATCTCAACTCGTCTTTTTTTTTTCTTTTTTGTTTGCTTTCTCTTGAAAATAGCTCTAGAACAATTTTAGAGAAGTATCTCAGGCCTGCAGTTTCGCTTGCTGAAGAGCAGAGTTCCAAGATCTGCAAAAGATTGGTAGATAGACAGAGCCAAGCTTGGTTTCATCTGGCTCATTATGCAGATGCTCTATTTAAGAGTTATGAGGAAAGACTCTACTCCAGTGAATGGCAAGCTGCAATGCGGCTACGAAAACACAAGGTCTCCTCCACCTTGGTTGCTCAAATTTACATTTTTAACATTTTCTTTCTGTACTTTTTTTTTGTGGGTAGGATATGCTTGTTTTCCTGCTAAATGAGCACCAATCAGTGATTAATCCTTTCTTTTGCTGTATCAGTAATAGTCTTAAATAGCTTCAACTCTAAGTTTGTTCTTCTGTTGTGGGTGAAACTGGAGGCAACTAACTAGTGTGCTTAATTTTTCAGACGAAAGAGTTGGAGGTGCTTATTAAACGGTTTAAGAGTTCAAAGAAGGCACGTATTAGTCTACTTCCGTTTGTTTGATCTCTAAACCGATCTCTTATCAAAGCACAATGTGATGGCCGGTTTAGGCATCTCTCTCATTTTATTTCATATTTGATCTTTTACTGTACTAGGCGGAGCAATCTGACTATTCACTGAAGATCCAAGATCTGCAGAAGCAACTAACAATGGATAAAGAAGAAGCAGAAAAACTGCAGGTTTTTTTTTTATTCTGCCTTGATAATCTGGCTTCTGTGGGAAAGTAGTCATGGGTTTCTAGACTGGTGATATTCACTGATACGTGATCTCTCTCTTTCTCCTCAATTACGTAGGTTGACAGGGATAACTTTCTGAAACTTGCATTGGAGGGGTATAAACGTTGTCTGGAAATTGGTGACAAGTATGATGTTCGAGTGGTACGTTAATCTATATTTCTGTGAGATTTGCGTATAATGTAAGATGTGAATTAGTGTCTGGAATTGATCCTTTATGACAGGTGATGAAGTGTTAGGTTGGCTCTAGAGTCAAATATAGAATTCCTTAAGAACATGGTTTTAATTGTTAGGTTACCACATCTAATGAATCTGCAATATACGTATCTGCATATATTATATTCCTCGCATCTATCAAGGAGCAACTAAGGATATATTTAGTGGTCTTAAATGGTCCAACGTTTCTTCTCTTTTCCTGTTTTGGGTTGCGGTCTCTAGCTGCTTGTCAATATTTCTCAATCGTGTTTGTGTTGTATACTTATTGGTCATATCAATCTTTCTTTGGTTTTTGGGTATGTGATGAAGTATATTTGATAATGGCACCACAGAGATTAGATTTAGTTCCATGTGAATGGTGGACCTGTACATATAGGTGTGTAAGGTTTGTGACTAGCGCATACCTATATATGCCAGAATCATGGTAGAGTGACCTTTATATTCATATAAGTCATACACTTTTTATTTGGGATTCATGTCCAATTTTGTCTTACATTATCTCAGAAAGTTATTCAGCGTTTTCTCTGGCCTTTTAGAAACATGTTTGAGAGTTTAGCAGAACGTGGTGTATTCATTATATTGTTAGATTACGGGAACACTGTTTGGAACTAATTTTTCTTTCTACAGGTATTTCGGCAAGTATCCATGTGGTTCAATCTTGCCTCCCAGAAAAATGTTATTGATAACATGTTGAGCACCATTAAAGAGGTACTTGACTAATGTTATCAGATTTTATCTGCTATCGAGAAGGAATTCTTTGATTTTCTCTCCATTTTTCTTGTTTAGTTTAAGCAATCTTCATCTCCCTAAACGTTCTTGCAGGTTCAGTCTTACAAATTTGTACCCCTTGTTTATCAAATTGCTTCAAGGTTGGGCAGTTCCAAAGATGAATCAGGATCTAACAGCTTTCAGGTGGAATGCAATTTTACATGGCTATCGTAGAAAACTTAAGACTATGATGCTAATCTCTACGATTTATTACTTGCAGTCTGCACTGGTTTCGCTTATCAGAAAAATGGCCATTGATCATCCATACCATACAATCTTGCAGGTTCTGAAGTGTTATCCATCTCTTGTACTCTTAATATTTCTTCTATTCTGTTTGGTTTACTGGCATAGGGCTTGCTAGAAGTGCACAAGGTAAAATCCTTGAGTGTCCTATGACATCCCGAATCTGTTGAAAGAATGAGAAAACAGTAAAGTCTGTTGTGCTGTGTAGCATGCCATCGAAATTACATAATTAGCAAGTGACTTTGTCTATCTTATTCGAAGTCAAGTTTCTAAATACTGGATATATGTCTCGTATTTTTCTTTTGCTTTTGGTTCTAGCTTCTGGCTTTGGCAAACGGTGATCGTATCAAGGATAACCAACGCAGTAGAAATTCTTTCGTGGTTGATATGGATAAAAAGCTTGCAGCAGAGCATCTCCTGCAGGATATATCACATTATCATGGGCCTATGATTAGACAAGTAAACCTTTTTTTCACCTAATCTTATGCATCATAGACCATTTTTCCTGGTTACTTATCAGCAAATCCTGATTGTTTTTTCAGATGAAACAACTGGTAGATATCTACATCAAGCTTGCAGAGCTTGAAACAAGGAGAGAGGTCTGATAATTGAGTTTAGAGGAAGTGTTTTGTTATGCTGTTTGCTGAACATTTTTTGAAACATTTGTGGAACTCTTTCCTCTGCAGGATACCAATAGAAGGGTAGCGCTACCAAGAGAAATTCGTAGTGTGAAACAATTAGAACTTGTAAGCACGCCATTGTTTAATTTATTCATATGCATTCTTATCTAGCTTAATCATAATTATAAGCTTGTAGGACCCCATGTTGCTAATCAAGATAGAAAATTTCTTGGAAACTAAGAAACTTCCGTGGGTCATCTTGATAGGCACTCCTATACATACAACGGAGAATTTAATGGCAGCTGTTCAGATTCTTTAGCAAATTTTGTCCAGTGTTTTCATTTGTCTGCTCCCATGGTTCCTGTTTTGAGTCTGTTGCAACTCCTAACAAGATTGATACTCGGCTGAATGAATTTGTGCGATACAGTCTTTCGTTGTTTATTTAATTGGAAGAGTTAGTTAGTCAGATGAGCTTGCAAACTTGTTTTCCATTTTCCTTCTAGTTCGAATATTCAATTTCCCGCTTTCTCTGTGCTTCTGAGGTATGTGTCAAAAAATGAATTTCTTTTTGAGTGTAGGTACCTGTAGTGACTGCTACAATTCCTGTTGATCGTAGCTGCCAATACAATGAAGGGTCATTCCCGTTTTTCAGAGGTTTATCAGATTCTGTTACGTAAGTCCTGCTCAGTCAATCCTTTGACAATCAATATAACAATACTTTTTTGCATATCTAGTTTAAAAGAGTACTTTATTTATCATGTCTATTGGATGATATGCAGAGTGATGAACGGTATAAATGCTCCAAAAGTAGTTGAATGCTTTGGTTCTGATGGCCAAAAATAAGCAACTTGCAAAATCTGGCAATGATGACCTCAGACAAGATGCTGTAAGAGTTTCAGAAGTTTTACTTGCAATGTCTATAATGATACAACGTGTGTGGCACTCCTCACTTGCAATGTCTGTAATATGATACATGGCACTGCTCCCTGTACTGGCAGCAAATTGAAAGTATGCTGACTTAGCCAAGATTACATATAAAATGGTCTAGTTATGCAAAGCGTGTACCACTTTGTTTCAGGTTATGGAACAATTTTTTGGACTCGTCAATACCTTTCTACACAATAACCGAGACACTTGGAAGAGAAGATTAGCGGTGCGCACATACAAGGTACGTCTCTGTATCAGTCTACTAGAGGTTTTCTATTTTAGAGAAAATTTGATCCATTCAGTTAGTTGAATTCTCTTTATAATGCATATATGTATATACATATTCTCAGGTTATTCCTTTTACTCCAAGCGCTGGTGTTCTTGAGTGGGTTGATGGCACAATTCCACTTGGAGATTATCTTATAGGAAGGTTGGTTTAGTAGACTAGTATTTACAATAACATGGTACAACAATCTCTCTTCCAAATCGTGCCAGTTGAAACTAACTGTTTGCATATCAAATCACAGCTCAAGGAGTGAGGGCGCTCATGGTCGTTATGGCATTGGAAACTGGAAATATCCCAAATGCCGAGAACATATGTCGAGTGTAAGCTCATTTCCTTTCACAGATCTTCTTAGTTGGCCATCACTGACATCTGTTAATTCGCTCAATTGATATGCGGTGCTTGATTGGTGGCTTGTAGGCGAAGGACAAGCGCAATGCCTTCATGGATGTCTGTACAAACTTCAGGTTTCGTTTTTTGTGGAACGTTAATTTAACTTACTCCGTAAGTAGGTTGGTGGCTGACAAATCCATCCCCTTTCGCAGGCCTGTCATGCATTACTTTTTCCTTGAAAAGTTCCTGCAGCCCGCTGACTGGTTTGTGAAGAGGCTTGCTTATACACGTAGTGTTGCAGCTAGTTCAATGGCAAGTATATCCAGTTTTGCTGATATTTATACTCTCTTCCAGTTTATGATAGATGGGAGTTTCAATTTATGTATAGTTTAGAATATAAAACGGAAAAAATCATTTGTACCCGACTAAATGGCGTAAAATCTTAGTGAAATACATTTAGGAAGCTCTTAAATCTTAGTTGATTTGAAATTTACTTAAATGCTGGTAAATTTGTTAGCAAAAGAGAGCTGCCACCACCCTTTTGATCCTATTCACCTCTTTTTTTCTTTCTTTTTTGTTTATTGACATCAAGTGGGACATGGTTCTATTCTCAGTCGGGGCATCTGGAATAGATATGTTCTTTAGTTTTCCCTCTGATTCATCTCCTTTTGAAAATGTGGCATTTGATTTGCTATCAGGTTGGGTACATCGTTGGTCTTGGTGATCGTCATGCCATGAATATTTTAATCGATCAAGCTACAGCAGAAGTTGTCCACATAGATCTTGGAGTTGCTTTTGAACAAGGATTAATGCTCAAGACTCCTGAAAGGGTGTGTTCTCTTCGATCTCCTCTCTTTACATATTTAATTGGTCTTCCTGTGAGTATATATAATCTTTGCACGATTCTCATTTGTTCATTTATGTTCTGATCTGACAGGTTCCGTTCAGACTGACAAGAGACATAATTGATGGAATGGGTATCACAGGAGTGGAAGGCGTTTTCAGGAGATGTTGCGAAGAAACCCTGTCTGTGATGCGAACAAATAAAGAGGCGCTGCTAACTATTGTCGAAGTAACCAGATGAAAGTTTCACTTTGAATGTTTTTTAAAATACAAAAGCTTTTTTTGAAACTTAATCAGGATCGCTTGTTTTGCAGGTTTTTATACATGATCCTCTGTACAAATGGGCCTTGTCCCCCTTAAAGGCTTTGCAAAGACAGAAGGTACCTCGTACCCTTATAGTTTAAACTGTAAATGTACAATGTAATGACCTTTGCAAAAAAGGTTATAAAGTGTGGACTTACAGATTTTTGCATGTATAGAAGGCCAGAACGCAGATTTTCCTGTTGTTTAAATAGATGCTTCTGATGCTCTTTCTTTGGAATTTTTCTTCACGCAAATCAGTTTGTCTTCCATTTCAATGTCTTGATCCAGACAGATTCCAATTCAATATTAGGATAGTTTATCCTGTTGAATACGTTTCGTTTCTCACACAAAGTTCTTGATCCAGGAAACTGAAGATTATGATGGCATGAACTTGGAAGGGTTACAAGAGGAATTCGAGGGAAACAAGGATGCTACACGTGCCTTGATGCGTGTCAAGCAGAAACTTGATGGATACGAGGGTGGTGAGATGAGAAGTATTCATGGCCAGGTAAAGTTTTTGACTTATTAATCAAAGGTTATAACAGCAAACGCTAACTTGTCTTTGGTTCACAATTTACTGAATCGTATTTGCTCGACACTTAATGTTTTGTAGGCGCAGCAACTAATACAAGATGCAATTGACACAGATCGTTTGTCCCATATGTTCCCTGGCTGGGGAGCGTGGATGTAACCGACCTTCTATATGCTCCAATTTTTTGTCTGTGAATAGAGAAATCTTTATGTAAAGTTGATAATACTCGGCTGCCAAATTTTGTCTAGCTTAGGAGGGGAGGGAGCAATCTAAAAACGGCTTTTGCGTGGTACAGAACGAATATGTGAAGCAACAAGCTCAAGCGTAAATATATTACTTCTTTTGGGCATTTTGCATTTTGGCTCATGAAGTAAAAGAATTTCACTAGACCCGTATTTTATTATCTTTCAACAAGAAAAAGTTAATAGAAGCTATGTTTAAACAAGCTTCGAGCTTTACATTACAAAGGTTTAAGTTTACACACATACATAAAAGAATCATTTATAGCTCGTTGGTTGGAAGTGAACCCATTAGAATAGTGGTCTCTTTGTCTTGTTTTGTCTTACCAAATAAACTTGAGAGGAATCGTAGAGGCAAGACAGACGTAGAATCTGATTTCTTCTCTGATACTTGCAGCTCTCCAGGGCTCTTTTCGGCTTTAGTTGTGCTCCGCAATGGCAGCTTGAGAGTCTTGCTAAGCATCTCTTGTGGAAACC